TACAATATAAAGGGAGACAATACATCAATGATACAGTTCAATACAAGAGAGTTAGGAGGGCCTGATCCTGGGAGCTTACAATCTAAGAGAGAGAGAGAAAGAGAGATTTAACTCAGTCAGCTCATATGCTTAGTACAAACTTTGAAGATTAAATTGGGAATATTGTTGTAATAATTTTTTTAAATTTTTATAGATTATTTGAAAATCTCAGGAACTGGTGGACTTCCGGTGAGTGGAACGCACGCTGAGGGGGTGTGTTCCAGGCAGCCATCTTTGATGTTGGAACTGCATTGTTATCCTCTGCAAACCACAAGGCTGTGAGGTCTCTGGATAGAACTGTGTATATATGGATCTGTGTGATCCGATGAAGGCTATTAAACAAATGCTTTTCATTTTCCTTGAACGTGTGAGTGGCCTGGTATTATTATTATATTGAATGGTACTGGCAGTATTACACTATGGTATTTCTTTCTCTTGCACTGCTGGGGAGCTCTTGAAGGAGTGAGTTGGAGGAGAGCATCATATCAGTCAAGGTGGATAAGGAGCTCTGGAGAATATATAGAGGGGGCATAGGATCCCTAAAATCCTAAAAGGCGCAATACTCACCATTATCTGGTGAGTGCGGTTGATGTTGATTTTACATTGGTGGATGGTGGAAGCACATTTCTTTGGGAGAAAATTTGTTTGTTTTGTTTTTTATACACCTTTGGGAAGAAGGACTTTTCATCTATATTCATTTATGACACATTTTTAATGAAATTAATTTGTGGACATTTGAAAAAAAAAAAAATTAAAAAAAAAAAATATTATTGATGTTGATGGATGTTAATGTATGGTGGAGAGGTTTGTGTTTTGCGCTGTTATTATATATTTCTTTATTAATTGGTGTATTGCACTGGTGCACAGCAGCATACCGTTACCTTAATTACGTATAGAAAAAATATTTTTTTGTGCGCTGGGGTTTGTGATCTACTTACTTGAAAATCTCACCATTAATTCAATATGCGTACATGTATCATTTAAACTCTTTTGTTCAGAATACATGTCATAGTTGTCCTACTGATATTTTAGTATTTGTTAACCTTGTATAACTTTTCAGTCACGTAGTTAGGCTACATCCTTAGTAAGGAACTACACATACATATTACCTCTTTTTTTTTAACACATTTTTTTTAAAACTTAAGTTTGTATAGAATAATTTTATGTAATGCCATCCTGTATGCAAGACACATGTTCAGATATAGGTACTGCAGAAGTTTTCTCTTATATTGCTTGACAATGCGTCACCTTTCCATGTGCTCCTTGCTGTGAAGGCCAGTTATAGATTGGGGCATTGGCCATTTTTTGTTTTATAGGTAGTACAGGGACATGAAAAAATTTAGAAAGAGTGTATTTTGCCAAATATATTATTATTTAAAATGTCTAGGGGAAAAAACTACAAAGACCTAAGATCCCTTCAAGTGTTCAGCCAATAATAAATATGAATGTTTATATGCTAATGCAAAATATCAAATAACATAGAAGACATTGTATGTGTGTATATATATATATATATATATATATATATATATATATGGGTTATTCAAAAAGTTCCCACACTTTTTTTTTAACTCTTTCTCTCTCTCTTTCTATATATATATATATATATATATGTGTATAAAAGTGCAGAACCTTTTGAAGACCCTATATATATTTATATCTCATTTTTCTCATATATTGTATATATATATATTTCGTATCTTGTTATATATTATATTTCTTTGTGTTTGTTATGTTATGAATCATCGGATTCATTCATTGCAGTTCACACATCAGCCCACTTATATTATTTTATTATTATTATTATTGTATGTGATTTATACGGCGCCCAGCAGTTTGCGCAGTGCTTTACAACATGGGGCAGACAGTACAGTTATAATTTTTCTTCATGTTTACATGATATAAATCATTAGATTAATACACTTACCAGTTCACATATCAGCTCACTTATGTTGTAACATGAAATCGTTGGCTAACTGACACATAGGTTTAGGAGAAAACACTTTTTAAAACTTAATAAAAAAAAAATCTTTATATATAAATATATGAATGTACTTTTGTTTAGTCTGTGCAATGTATATTGTTTAGGTATAACTTGAAATAAGTTGATTTATTTATGCTCATTTTTACCTGTGGAGATTTAGGAAGAAAATACTTAAGTACTCCTAGAACACACTGTGCTTGTAGATTATTGCAAAAGCGAAGTGTGCGGTACTTCTCTGATGTAACAGACTTAGCTGGTGTTAGGAAATCAAAGCATGGACAATTTAACTACAGCTTGAAAAATTATGTAACTTTTTTTTTTCATTCTCGAAAACCTATTTTCTCCAGGCACTGATAAATGTTTAATGTTTTTGCTTTAGGGAAATTTTAGTCCATTAACAGAACGATTCAGTTTATTTCCAAGAGGTTTTGTGGAATGAATTATAAACTTTTCCTTGTAGAATGCTGCTTTGATTTTTAACTGTTTCTCTTAGAGAGCCTGAGTGATGGGGTCTGCAGTTTTATATCACATTGCTCCTATATGTGTGTCTATCTATCTATATCTATCTATCTATCTATCTATCTATCTATCTATCTATCTATCTATATACACACACGATATATACACTGTATTTATATAGTGTGTATATATATAATGTGTGTATATATATATATATATATATTTTTTTTTAATATATATATACTGTATATATATATATATATATATATACTGTGTGTTTATATATATATATATATATATATATATATATATATATATATATATATATATAAAATATATGTGCGTGTGTGTGTTATGTGAACCTTATTAGTTCCCATTGTAGTGCTTTGTACTCGAGTATGCTGCCAGTAGCCTGAAGCACCAACAGCAAACAGCCAAGACAGACTTCGCCAGGTCATTAATTATGATATGTGAAGTTTCTATACATGTGTGTTGATGTCAGATTCATTTCTCATCTGCAGTTTTCTTGTGATCTGATGATGATTTCAAGGATTTGTTGAAGGTCCCTGAGCTCCGTTGCTGGGGTTGAAGATTTCTTTAGCTGTAGTAGGCTTTAACTACAGAAGCAATTTTTGATCATGCTATTAAAAAAATATTGCACAATGTACCATTAACCTCCCTGGCGGTATGATTATTTCAGATTTTTGGTGCTGAAAGCGGTACCATTTTTTTGCATGGAAATATGTATTTTTTTTATTGTAGGCTGTAATTTTTAGGAAAAACTCACTGAAATCTGTCCGAACAAGAGTCTAGTAAGCATCCCGGGTATGATAAAATTTGAAACACAAAATCATAAATTATAATTTAATAAATAATCATAAAAATAATATAAAAATAATAAAAAATTTAATTCAATAATATAATCAAACCAAAAACACTGAAATGTGAAATAGAGCGCCAAGTTCGCACATTGCTGAGCTCAGTCGCAAAATCGTTTTCAGTGTCTGATGACAAATTTCCCCCACGAATCATTATCACTCAATTCTGCAAGTGGTTCTGATTTACTATCGCTGTTCTCTAGCTGATCTAAACCGCTTTTGACCTAAAGGGACACTTTTTGGACGCCATGGACATTTCTCAGTTTCCAGGCAGAAAGAACAGACAAAATGCAGGCAGGGCGCAGGGCAAAGCACTCGGGACAATATGTATGTGAAATTGGTTGAGACAGCAATGTTTTACTATGTAAAATGTAAAAAAAAAAAAAAATGACATTTTTTAAAATTTTTAAATTTCCCGCCGGCGGCGGCGGCGGCGCCCGTACGTCCCGACGTCACAGGGACAGGACACAGAAGCCGGATGCCGGCATCAGCCGAAGGAGATGGCCGGGGACGCTGCAGGGGACACATCGCGGGAGCGCAGGGTAAGGTAAGTGAAGAACACTTGCCGGAGCAGTGCCGCAGGGTAAGCCCGAGTGTAGCTCGGGGTTACCGCTTTTGGTACTGAAATGTTACCCCGAGCTACACTCGGGAATACCGCCAAGGAGGTTAAAGTGGTTGTAAAAATCAAACATGAGATATGAACAAAGCACATCCCTCTATAATGTGTACGTATCTCAATCCATGGTATCTAATCAGCTTCTAACTTCAACTTCTTCAATTAAGCTTTGACAATAAATCCTGGAAGCTGGTTGGTTTCTATGCAGAGCTGCACCAGATTTTGCAGTTTTAGTAATTAACCCCCCATGTGTTATTTCTGCCCACTGCCTCATTCCTCTGCGATAAGATGAGAAAAACAAAACCGGGTAATAAAAGTGAGAAATTGCATCGCACGGAAATCGCATGTGATTTGCACAGAAATGCTGTGTGCGGTTCCTATGCAAATCACTTGCGATGTGCCGTACCGCATCAATGTGAACCAGGGCTGAAGGCTCTTTTCACACTACTACATTGCAGTGAAATAGAACATAAAATCGACTTTAGTGCTTTCATTTTGGATGACACCCCAACACACTTTATCAGTGTAACACAATGCACTGTGTTCAATCAATGCATTGTTCTAACACGCTTCCCTTCCTAGGGTGACAACGCTGCTCCTCCATAGATATTCCAGTAAGTGTTGTCACCCTAGGACTAGACGTGTTACTGACAGGATCACCTCATAAAAATAAAATAAAAAATAAATCTAAAAAAAACCCCGAATGTAGTCCCTTCATCTAAGAACTGGTAAGCTGCAACATATTCCATTTTTTTGTTAATGACTTATGCAGGCCATACATGGTTAGAATTCCGAACGATTGTCGTACAAAAATCGGACCTAAGAATAATCGGCTGATTTTCGCTCTGTTAGTGGGGCAATGGCATCGGCTGATTTTCGTGGTACCTCCCCAGTTCGTTTATCGGGCATGCTGTAAAACTCATGAAAAAGGGCCGATTTTCGAAATCACTGGTGGCACCATTAGATTACAGAATGCCCCCCCCCCCACACCAAAACCCCCCTAACAACCCAACTCCCCACCAAGGTTCATCATACATATATGAATACCTCTGATGATATTACTAAACAAGATCTACACCTCCACCTACCATTGGGTGGAACAACAACAAAAATACTCAACCAGGGGTGGAATGACAACTCATGGGGCCCCCGGGCAATAGGGGATCATCGGGCACCTGTGTCCTTGCCCAAACTCAAAAAAGCCTATGAAAAAGGTACCAGGGGCATCTCATGGGGCCCCCTACTGACCCCGGGCCCTCGGGCAGTGCCCGAGTCTCCAAATGGTCAGTCCAGCCCTGTGCTCAACTATGTATCGTCTAATGTAATATTGTATGAATGAACCGTATTTCACTTCCTTGTTTTTCTCTGAAAAATTTAGTAAAAATATTGAAACATAGATTACAGAACGAACAACATTTTGATTTTCAGATGAAAAATCGTTCGGAATTCGAACCATGTATGGCCTGCATTAGACACACTTAAGGCTCCATTCACACCAATGCTTGTTTTTATGCAGAAACGCACTACAGTCCATTTAACATGGTTTCCTATGCAACATGTTCGCATCTATGCTTTTTTGAATTGCTGCATTTTTGGAAAGTGGCAGGGACTTTTTTTAAACGCAAAAAGCAGAGTTTTTGCTACAATAGAGTTCAATGGAGAATCTGCTGAAATGCATGGTAGTGCGTTTTTGCTGCGATTTTGCTGTATTTCGGGTTTTGCATTTTTATTCTGCCCAGTGAAAAAAAAATTCCAGTTAAAAAAAAAAAGCTGAACAAAACGCAAAACGTGGCAAAAACGCATGTAGAAAAACTCAAAATGAACTGCAAAAAGCACTGCAAAACAGGCAAAAAGCAAACTGCATAGGTGTGAACGGAGCCTTAAAGGGGACTTTAGGACCACTCAGGAAAGGAGAATCTTTTTAACTACAAATCAGGGCCAGGACAAGGGGCTGGCAGGAGGGACAGTGGTCCTGGGTGAAATGGTTTATTGTTTACTGGGGGCAGCTTTCTTCTTACAAGTCTGACAGGAGTAGTGACAGTGGCAGTAATTTTCTGCTGGGCATAGCACCCCCGTCCAGCATGCACATCAAGAATGGGGTGGGGGGGTGCAGTTTGGTATCTTTGCCCTGGGCAATGGATGACCTTGTCCCAGCCCTGCTACAAATGGTACTTTTATTTGACACAAGAGCAGGGGTGGACTGACCATTCGAGCACTTGGGCATTGCCTGAGGGCCCGGGGTCAGTAGGGGGCCCCATGAAATGCCCCTGGTACTTTTTATAGGCTTTTTTGGGTGTTCTTTGAGTGTGGGCACGGACACAGGGGCCCCATGATCCCCTATTGGCCGGGGGCCCCATGAGTTGTCAGTCCACCCCTGCACAAGAGATAAGGCTGGCCATAGACGGGCCGTTTATCAGCCGAATTGTCGTCCGATAAACGAAAAATCGGTCGTTTCCATTGCGGATGCTGCCACCAATGCCTACAAAAACAGCCGTTTTTTGTGGATTTTCCAGCATGACTGATAAAAAGAAACGAGAAGATCCACGAAAAATGGCTGACGGCATTGCCCCACTAACGGCGTGAATATCGGCCGATTTTTCATGCAGACAAACATTCGGCCGATAAACTACCCGTCTATGGTCTGCATTATGGACTGAATGTGGATATCAGCTTTCTAAACCACCAATCTCAAATAGTTTTATGGCCATTCTCACCTCTGTGACTCCCCCTCCCCCACCCATACTATAACTGCTTCTTTATTCCTTACGGGACAATTTCTCACTTTTATTACCTGGTTTTGTTTTTCTTGTTTGTTTATTTTTCTTGATTTCACAGAGTGAAGCTTAGTTACAGATTTGTCTTAACATTTTGCTGAACATCTGTGTGTCAGTATTCCTTGGATCTAGAAGACGGTGGTAAACCCCCGAAAATCTTGTCCTAAAAAATAACAGTCTTAGTCCTCATGCACATGGGACATTTTTACAGCGGCTGTTTACTGGCTGTAGAAAAAAATGCCAAAAGCCAAAAACTCCCCAGCATGTTATCCTATGTGTCCATGCACACATAGACTGGAATCAACGTTTTTTGGCTGGGACGTTTTTGGCTGTGAAAAACCCAGGACTAGTGGGCTTCTAGAGGAGTTGTAAAAACATTCTAACATGGCAAAACACGGTAAAGCACAATAAAACTCTGCAAATTGGCGTTTTTGGATGTTTTTTGAGCAAAAAAATTTTTTGGGTAAAAAAACCCCACAAAAATCTGCAAACGCGAAAAAACACTGATAAACGCCAATGCAAAAACTCTTAAAAAAGCTGAAGAACTCACGTTTTTAACGTGACTTTACACAGCTAACGTTATCTGCGTTATGAAACGTCTCGTGTGTATGAGGACTCACGCTGAAAACTGTGGAAAAAAGCAGTAAAGTGCGGCAAGCCGGATAAAAATGCAAACGCGGCAAAACACCACTAAAAGCTAATGCAAACACACTAAAAGACGCTGAAAAATGTTTTAAATGTGACTTTACACAGCTAATGTCACCAGTGTTATTAAAATGCCCCGTGTGCATGGAGCCTAAAGGTGTAATGCTGGCCATACATGGGTTGAAATTCGACCGATTTTTCGTCCAAAAATCAGACCTAAGAATAATTGGCCGATTTTCGATCTGTTAGTGGATCAATGGCACTGGCCGATTTTTGTGGTTTCTCCCCTTTTCAGTGATCGGGCATGTTGGAAAATTTGTGAAAAACGACCAATTTTCGACTCAATGATGGTCCACGTTTCGCCTGTTATATGGGGTGAACTTTATGACTTGGTAGGCCGATTTTCAAAATCATTGATGGAACCATCGGATTACAGAGTGTGAACAACGTTTTCCATTTTCGGACGAAAAATCGTTCGGAATTCGACCCATGTATGCCTTGCATTACTGACAACTGTGTGGAAACTATGCAAATTTTCTTTTCCAAATTTGTGGATAACGTAGGGATGGATTAGAACCCCTGTAGGGTGTTTACTGCTACCAGGGGTCCCCTTATAGAGTTCCCCCTCACTAAGTACAACCAATTCACCAGACTGGAAGTAAACATCACCAGCAGGGGCACAGACAGGAATAACAATTAGTTAATTAGCTATATAAATACCTGTAATAAATCCAATAAAATAATACTTAACCTCTTCAATACCGGGCACTTTTACCCCCTTCCTGCCCAGGACAATTTTCAGCTTTCAGTGTTGTCACAATTTGAATGACAATTGTACCCATAAACACTTTAGGTCATTTTGTTTTTTGCACCTGCGTTTTTGACACTTTTTTGATGCATCTTGCATTTTTTTTCTTGTTGCTGGGCAGATCTAAAATGCAATACGCATCAAAAACACAGCAAAAATGCACCACAAGCTTTTCTGCAGCGTTTCCATTGAAGTCTATGGAACCAAAAACGGGACTTTTTGCATTAAAATAAGTCCCTGACCCTTTCCAAAAAACACAGCAGGTGAAAATGCGGAGATGTGAACGTGTCCCATAGGAAATCATGTTAAATGGACTGTAGTGCGTTTCTCCAAAATGCTGCGGAAAACTCTTAGGTGTGAACTTATGGTAAGGAAGATATAAAATACAGTATGTCAGTTTTTTAAAAAAAATTATGATCCTAAATACCTTCAAAATGAGCGGTCACGTGACCTCCCTCCGCTGTCCTTCCCTGATCTAAGGAGAGCAGGAGTGGGAGGGACTGAGATTCCCTTCTGATGTATGGCAGCCTCTGACATGACTGCACAGCAGGGCTGTGCACAAAAGTATTTAGAATGATATGAATTTTAAAAAACTGACATACTGTACTTAGTATCTTTCTATAATAGTGGTGATAGAAGTGATTTATATGCACACCAGCCACAGCGGATTAGTGGCAGTAGGGGAGGGGCAGGGAGGAGATCATCTCTCACAACACAGACCACTGAGTTGATAGGCAGGGAGGGAAGGGGAGCGGGATGATAGAGGCATGTAAAATGACCACAGTATCATGGATCAGCAGCCATGATTACTGTTGTCTGTACACACAGGGTGACATAGGAACAGGCAGGATCAACCAGGTATTTTACATCATACAATGGGACAAATTACACTGCAGAAGCACTATACTATAGATCATTTAGTATAAACCTCCTGCGCTATGGAGTGGAAAATAAATAAAAATGGCTGCTGACACCCGCAACTTAATACCTATAAGTGAATAATGCTAAAACATATAAAATTGGTGTAGCGCTCAAAATTACCATATATATATATAATTAAATGATCAAATATTAATAATCATAAATAGTGATACATAAATAAATATGAATAGTGATACATACATATATAGTGACCTGATCCCCACTGGGATCTTATAGTGACAAAAAAAGTAAGTTACCCTGATGAAGTCACGTGTCAGTCGTGACGCAACGCGTAGGCATGTGGTGACGCAATATCCGGCGTGGACTCCATCTTGGTACTCCATAACGAACCCATGCCAATTACACCCATAGCATGAGGATGAAATGCTTTTTGTCTACTGATACCAAGTGAGTGAGAAATTGGCATTATTATGGCTATAAATGTATAATAAACGGTATTACACTATGGAGGCTCTCTTTTTCATGTCATTAATATGATCCATATGAGAGTTGGCTATATGACGGGCATGTACACGTAAAGGGAACCTGAAGGTGATCTGAGATGTTAAACGCATGTTATTGAAGTGGCCTTTAATACTGCTTGGAAGGATACCACAAATGGGAAATTGTTCGTGGAGGATCCAGTTGTGATCCCAAAAGCGGTTTGGCCCCTTGGGTCACGGTAAGTAGGTGAGGAGGCAATTCAGCCATTCTTTGGATTTATCACCAGCGGCTGTAATGCACATCCACAGCACCACCTGCATGTTTTGGAAAAAGTAGTGGAACACTCGGATTATATGCACATTTGTTTTTGGACTTTTTATATTTTTTATTATATATTTTTTTGGTTGTTTGTATATTTCACTATACTATCTTTAGACATTATTTTGGGATTTATGTTGAGGTATATTTAGTGGGGAGGAGGTTGTGATTCCTAGGTTTGTGAATTTTTTGGAGTGTGTTTTTTGTTCACGGAGCATATTCACTATATATAGGAGGATTATCCCCCAGTGCAGGCATTCACTTGTATATGGCACTTGTTTTGTTTGTTTTTTAGGTTGTGTTCAGCCACTGATCCCAATTAGGGATTTGGTTACTGGTTAACACTTTGTGTGTGTGTTTATCACATTGGGTCCAATTAGAACCACGGTTATTTTCATTTTT